TTAGAGAACATGAACTCGTGCATATCAGGTTGGGTGATCATTTTTCTGCTATGTCATTTGGAGGTTCCCTGTATCATTTGGAGGTCACCCACCCAAGATCAGCTTTTCTCCCATCACTGGGATGAGGCACCATATCTCCACAGAGAGGCGCGTCAGAGGAAAGCTGCACACCCTATGGTGGGGAGGGAAAGCCCTCAGCTAGGGTCCACTTCCTGTTTCCACACTCTTCTAATTATATCATAAAATGGCTACTTTGGGCTGAGGAGATAGCTCAGCAGAATAAGCACTTGTCTGGCAAGCACAAGGTCCTGAGTTCAATCCCCAGTATCAAAAAAAAAAAAAATTGTGACCTCATCAGTGAACTAATCCACTGATAAAATCAGAGCCCACATGAGCCAATCACTTTCCCAAATCTCTATGGCACCCAAACTTTCAACACAAAGACTGGGGTATGGATGGGGGGTTGTGTTTTGAGTCCCATCAATAACAAGACCGATAAAAGTAATTTCAAGAGAGCCATTATACAATATGCTGACTATAATTAATACTACTATAATCCTATTATAGGTACCTATATTCAGCATTTTCACTTGTTTAGCTATTTTTTGTCATTACCATACCACCAACCTACTGTCCATTAGAAAAACCTATTCATTTTGTTTTCAAAATATATCATTATTGGTACACTTTTCTCCAGTGAATGTTGAGTGAGTACTCTTCTTCAGTCTCATTCCTTTAATCCTCTGCTCTGGTCCAGATCATAGGTTTAAGGGGGTGCTGCTGGAAACACAAATAGTATTTAGAACCACAGAGCAAAGAATCCAGGAGGACTGAGTATAGGACCCTTCTGTGGTTCCTTCTCAAACTATGATTTGGTGAAGGTATCAGCAATCATGGTTCTCCTCATAACAGCTGAAGAAATATACCACTTTAACTGTCATAATTCATGAACCAAAAGGGAGGGGAAAGTTGTTCAAAACTCTTACCTCTGGGCCAAGGAGATAGTCCAGGGGCATAAGCGACTGCCTAGCAAGCGCAAGGTCCCAAATCTGATCCTTGGTACAAACAAACAAACAAACAAACAACAACACCAACAACAAACCCTCTTTCCTCTGAGTAGGTCTTAACTACTTTTCACAGGAAGAGAGTGGGTGCTCGCTGCTATTTAAAGAACAACTATTCTCTATTCACAAAGCAAAGCCTGGGGATAGGCATTAGGAGGGCTCAATTTTCCAGTGATAAATCAATGAAAAAAATGTAAATATTCCTACAAAGCACTCTGGAGGTTTTCACAGAAGTTGATTTAAAAGTGAGAATATTCAGGATGCTGGTGTTTTAGGTTGTTTTCTTTTGCATAGATAATTAGTTTAGACTCTTCCAAGAGTTCTGTGAAAGAACAGAGGGGAGAAGCTGTTATTGACAATTCAAAGTTAAGGAAACAGACACCTCAGAAAAGTTAAACAGCTTGACTAAGGATACACAGCTAGGAAAGGGCAGAATTAGTACTAGAAAGAAACCTTTCAGATTCTAATTTTGGTTTTCCTTCAGTCCTTTTTCTGTAAGTTTCTCGTCTTCTAGAATTTTGCACTGAAGCTAAGTAATAATCTGATTACAAACAATATCATGCCCTGGTAATATTAGAGCACTAAGAAAACAAGGTGGAGGGGGCCAGGAAGATGGCTCAGTAGAATAAGCACAAGGGCCTGAGATCAATCCCTGGTTCCACCAAAAATAAATAAATAAATAATTAATCAATTAAATAGAAAATGGGGTGGAGGAGGTGAGGAAAATGATGGAACAAGTTTCATCATATCTTTCCAATTCATCAGGGTGGCTTTGGGCCAAAGACAGAAGAGTATTGCTAGAAAAGAAAATGGATGTGTGACACCTAAATTTAGAGAAACAGCTATCATAGATCAAAAAAAAAAAAAAAAATTAAAACAACCTTGACCATTTCCTTACAGGAAAGCATGCACCAGATTATAGACTTCAACAAAAAACTGGACTCTGTCATTGGTTCAAATCCTACCTCTGTCACTAATTCATTGTACAACTTTGAACTAAACCACTTATCTGAGCCTTGATTTCCTCCCCTAGACAATACATAAAAATATAGCACCTAACTTATAGATTGCTACAGATTAAATTCAATTATATATGTCAAGTCTTAGGTACCTTCCTGGGAACATGGTAAGCAGAATAATGATCTCTTGCTGTAGTTTGTGTCATAAGGAGATAGTTGTCAGAGGTTTCTTCATGGTGGCCCAGAACTCACTTCTGTCCACATCCTTGCTATTAGTTCAGAAATTACTCCCTATTGTTGTCCTTTTGATGATCAAAGAATTTGGAGACACAGAAAAGTCTTGACTTAATTTTCTGTGTAATTTGAATCAGCAATTTATTTTCTTTAGTCTCATTCCTTATCTGTGATTTAAGGATCTTGATCAGATTTCAGAGTTATTTTGAGGCCTAAATAGGTGGTAAACTGTTCAATTTTTGTATAAGAAACCCAAGTAGATTTTAAAACTTTAGGCAATATGGGATATAACAATTTATCATTCCACCTACAGACAAAAGAGTGGAGCCACTGCTGGTAGAGCCCTTTACTATTATTTTTCTAG